TTAAGCTTCAATGTTACTTGTTTTCAAATCATTCAATAAATCATATACTGCCTAAACTGCATCATTTGATTCTGATCCTGTCTATTATTTTTATTCATATTCATTACCTATAGTAATAGAGAGAAATCTATTTCGAAGGCTTATGTACAAACCAAAGCTAATAGCCCAACAATAATGAATTTATTCATTTATTAATATTAATATGTATTATATAAAAACGGGTCATACTAATAAGTTAATTATATTAAATATTCATTAATTTAACATCTTTTCCAATTCACCTACTTTTTTCTCTAATAAATTCATGTGATTAGTCTATTCTAATCTTAATTCGATAAATTTTATTTATTATTCACTCAAAAATTCAACTATAGGTTTCCAATCGATATTTTATCTTCGCACAATAGAAACAAATTATTCTACAGTCTTTTCAAAATCAATTTTTAGTAATTCAATAATTTAATTGATATGGGTTTCTCTAGATCTTCTTTGTTTAGTTAAATTATTTTCTTAAAATTCTAACAACCATTATCTCAAAATCGATTATTCATTTGTTAATTACATAATACATTAACCAACCCTAACGCAATCATTAAAATGCAATAAATAAATTACTGTAGATTTAAGTGCTTTTTATAAGAAATCTTGAGACTCTTAAAATTCTTAATTAGGTTCTTATTTTTAACATAAAATTAAATATTGATTTATTTTTTCTAAAATTCCTTATAATTATTGCCATTAAAATTAGCTTTTTACTTATCCAACTGATTTACTGAAACATTTTGTGATTAATGTATAAAATTATTTTGATAACTTCTAAGATTCTTTAACTTTTATTAAAATATCTAAAAATGCTAAATACAAAATAGATAGTTCTTAATTATTTAAAATTTTTATCAAATTTTGATTAATTAAACTATAACAATTTCTTTGAGCCAGATCTTTGCTGCTTACTTTAATTGATTCCTCAACCATTTTAAATATCAATATATCAAATATGATATAAAATTTATCATATGATATTTACTTCAAAAATTATCCTGATGATAATATATATAATAGTTTTTCTAATAATTAATTAAGTTTATCACAAGATTAATCTTTTATAAAACTATTTAATAATAATATAATTTAATCTGCTAATAATTGAGGATTTTCAAAATTATTGGTTTCGTTATACTTAAAATATAACTACTAAAATATTCTAATATTCTAATCTACTTCAATTTCCATCTAAATTTAACTATTTTATTGTTGTTGGTTAAGGTTTATATTTCCAAAATTAATTTAAGAATTAATTTATGGTATTCCATTGTAAGATATACTTATGGCTTACATAGTCTTCTTATCCGAATTATTTTATTCCGTTTTTGGTTATTCTACAACAAATAAAGGGTTAAACCTTTAACAATTTTAAATTTAATCTTTTAAAAAGTTATCATTATTTTAAGATGTCTAAATTATTTATGAAAGTTAAAATTAAGGAGGAATTGCTTAAGCAATTTATTTATTAATAATTAAGCTCTCTTCTTTCCAAATAAAAGAAATGAATTAAGCAATTAGCTATTTTTATTAGAGAGTGTTGCTTAAATTCCAATCAGTTGCTTTGTCTGACATAATTTATATTAATTGATTTGCTTATTAATTGGATAATTCATCAAAATCTTCAAAATCTACTAATAATGGCTGTTAGACAGAATATTATTTGTACTCACTTAGTAAATTCATTAATAAGGGCAGTGTTCTTTAAGCCAATTTTGGAACTCCATTCCTTAAATATATTAAAATCATCATTTTAATATAAGAAAATATTATCTGTTATTCTAAGAAAGTAGGTATACGCTAAGTAATTAACATTTAGAATAATTATGAAATTTCTTAATGTAAAGGAATATTTTCTTTCATCCAAGAGATCAGAAAAGCCCATTTAAAAAATATTTCACAAAATTCCCCTGGTTATGTTATTTTAGATTTAATATAAGACGCTGCTAATTAATTTTATTATATATTATAGCTAAACATTTTTTCATAGAGAGTTTAAGGAATTTAGGGAACTTTTAGTTAAACTTTTATTCGTTCAAAATGTTAATCGCTAAAAGTATTTAAAGGAAAAGGAATAATTTGTTTTTCTTCTAATTAGATTTTTTTTATTTCAAATAATTATTTTAATGCATTTTGACATTCTTAAACTAAAGATCTGGTTTTCAAATTAGATTGATGCTAATAATTTTTCAGAAAATCTGAAATAAGTTATTAGTCAATATTTTTTTCACTTTAAGGTATATATTTTAATAAAATATTAAGAACTTCTAAAAGCTAACTTTAAGTGGATGCATTTTTAAAGGTTGTAATTAATTGAGATAAATGATGAGGTTTATAAGTTTATGCAAGTTTTTCAAATAATTAGTAACATAAAGATTTTTATTCTGGCATTTTATCGATTATAAATTCCATTGTAACATTTAAAATATAATTTGATTACTAAGTTATTTATAGTAAAATATTGCCTAAATCATTTTAATCTTTATTTTTTAATGATTTATATTATTTTATAAAAGCATCAACTTAAGTTGCAGTCATTGTAGTTGAATATTATAATTATTAAATTTCATTATTTTATTAATTTATTTGTAGAGGCTTATTCAATTTAGATTATAATGATTATTTTTTAAAATTATTAGTTGTAGCTGAGCCTTATAATTATAAATTTTCTTTATTTGGTAATAACTGCTTTTATTATTGTTGTTATTATTATTATTATTATTATTATTATTATAATAATTATTATTATTATTATTATTATTATTATAGAATTTCTTTTACTGGTTATGCTCCCATCCCTTCCAAATATAAATTTACTTAATTTTAATATTTTGTATATTTATCCCCTTTTAAATCAATTGACATAGTCCCATTAAATAATTTAGCAGATATTTTTGCCATCAACATGATTGATTTTGCTCGTACTTCGGCATTACCATCCTCTGTAAATTTCTTACAAATTGGGACTAATTATTTGATACATTAAAGTTTGTTTAATTTATCTTTTGATGTTTCATCTAAATAATGGTCAATAATGATAAAAACATTAATTTTTGGGCCAGGAGCTTTATCTTCCAATAAGGCTTTTAGTTCTTCGAAAAATTCATCAAGATTACAACTATAAAACAGTTTTTTAATAGTAACAATTGTTTCATCAACTATATTTTATTTTTTGTCCTTTAATTTAGCCAAAACAGGTAAAATAATTATTTTAGCATATTAATTAAAGTTTTTTCTTAAACCATTTGCCATACATCCAATAATCTTGATACATTAAGTGCTTACAATCATTTATTATTCATTTAATAATTTCTTTAATAATTATACAACTGAATATATATTTTAAGATGGTTGTATTTTAGGAACAGAACATGATTTTTATAGATTGTCTAATTGTTCCTTTTTCTCTTACCATTTTTCTAATTAAAATACTTTTTCACACCAACTATCTGTATATTTTGAAAATACTTCAACCGCTTCAACTAAATCATATAGTTCTTAATTATTAGTTTCAGCATCTCCTTCTTGATTTGGAGCCTTTTATACCTCAGTAATTGTCTCTGCTAATTTTTTCAATTCTTATTATAATTTCTCATTTAACCCTCCAAAAAAAGCTTCTATGTTTTTTCCATACCATTTTGTTACTTCCTTATAAAATGCAATTGCATCAATTTTAACAGTACTCTATTATGCATCTGTAAGTTTGGACATTACTGGAAAAAAAGGTTTTAAATAGTCTAATTTTTTTAGGCCAAATTATTGCAATAATTCTATCAACAAAGCTATTGTTGCTTATACAACTTTAGGGTTCTTATGAATTAAATATTATATTATGATTTCAGAGAAGGCAGATTTGCAATTAGGATAAAGTTATGTTGCAACTTGATGACCAAGTAGTTTTAATTTTTGTTGTGTTAATACTTTCTCTAATAAAACCTTTATTATTTCTTTTTGTTATAAACACTCTATTTAGTTATGTTTTTCAAAAAATTTTAATGCTATCTAAAGCGCTTTCTCTTGGCATTAAATATGAATATCCTATATTATCTATATGACACATTCACAATCCATTTCTTCATCATTTGCTAATTCTTCATAAGCTTAAAGCCTTACTTTCCAAACTTTAGATTTAATTCGTTACTTTAATGGTAAATCGACTTTTTCTTATTACTGAGGATCAAAATCTAATTATTTATTAACAAAATTACCTGGTGGAAACTCCTCTAACATAAAATTCTTTTTTGATTACCCAACCGGCAATTCATCCATTTGCATTTTGAATTTATTTTATATAAAATTTTTAATTCCTGAACATATTATTGTTAAATTATTCATTATAAAATTTATTAGAGTAATTTTATTGTCATTTTATATTTATATGGAGATGGAAATATTAAAACTTACTTTTTTGTTTTAATATTGTCAAATTATAATAGTTTATTTAAAAGGCCATATAATGATTGGACAAAAGACAAAAATATTAGTTTAATTTAATGTCTATAAGATTAGGCTAGTTTATTAGTCTGGGTTTTAATTTTACAATTCCTAATAACTTTCTATTTACATTAATGAAATAAGATTTGGGATCATCTTCATATATACCATTTTTGATGACAATTCTGTGATCAATAAGTAGGTATTGGATTCCTTTTTTTCACTTCTCCTAAAAATTCTGGAAATATTCTTTCAAATATTTACGGTTTAGGATTAGAAACGATTATAACTTAGAAGACTCAAAAATTTTAGATTTTGTGAAATATAGACCTTTAATAGTTGTATATTTTAGGTATATAATTTATTTTGTTATTTTAACATTTTTTTATTAATCAATGAGTAAAATTGATATAAATTCAAATTTGGTAAGAAGAATTTAGATTATTTAAACTTGAACGAAAGTTTGTTTTATTAAAACTTTTATTTTGATTAATATTTTTATTATATATCTAACTGTTAATTTCATGAATGATTCTATGGGATCTCTGTCAACTAATGATTCTTTAGAAGGACAGGAAAGAAAAAAAAAGAAAAATAATGTATTTTTTAAAAAAACAACTCGTCTAATAAATATTAGTTATAAAGAAGTTGTTCAATTGCTGAATCCATAAAATTTGTTTATTAACAAAAATTTAGAAGAATCATTCAATGTCATTCAAATGTATCATTTAACTTATCTCTATAGAATTCATTAACCTTCATATTTTCCTCACTTTAAATTTATATATGATGAAAATTTAGTTTGCTCAGAAATTAAATGGGACCGTTTGCCCACACTGGTCAAATTAGCATCATGATTATTGCTAAGTCATTTAGTTAGAAATTTAATATTATTTATTACTTAGATAAAGTATTGACAACAAACCTTAACACTAGTTGATTAATAATAATAATAATAATAATTCCTGTTAGGGGAACCAAACACAAATGAAAATACTCACTTTCTTAAAATCTCCTATTTTTAAACTATCATTTATATTTCAGATAACAATTTACAATTCTTCCTTAAATTTTACTCAAACCTTTTTCCCATTTTTTTGCCCATTATATAATGAATTTAGATAATAAAATCTATTACTTTAGAATCACAAATGAATTACATAATTATTCTTTATCATATTTATCGTCTCACTTTTCTCTATCTTCTTATTATAATTTTTTTTTAAATTTGTTTTCAATTTAACAATCATGATAAAATTTATTTGAGAAGATGGCGCTCAAGAGATTAATAATTTTAATAAAAATATATTAAATTTAGAAAGTCATTATCATTATCGTTTAAATCTTATAATTAAAAAATAGGTTGCTAAATAAAATTTCTAATTTCTAAAATATATTATTTTTATAGCAAACCTAATTCATAGTATTTTAAATTTGTAAGAATCGTTGATAATATTTTTTGAAATAAAATGAATAATTAAATAGGACTAAATCGAAATTATAACAAAGATGTAGAATTAGCACTGTATAAAATAAAAATAGATCTTGAGTATAGCAAAATTTCTCACAAATTTGGCTTTGTAAATAAAATTTCTCCTGTTACACTGGAAAATTATAATTAATATCATATATATAACAAATTGTTTAGGAATGAATAATAAAGAAAAAGTATTTAAGCTAGAGTTTAGACTATTGATCCAAAGACTACTAAATATTATATAAATAACAGCACAAAATTTTTCGATTTCTTAAAACACAAAGTTTAACACACTATTAAAGGAAAACATTATATTATGTACCTTGGATAGATGCCTCTATCTTCTAGATCAAAAACTCCTCCATAAAAGACTTAAAGCAATTAAAAATCTTAGACTATATTTTATTAAGAATCAAGAACTGAAAAGTTGAGATTTTCTAATGTCTAATCAGAATAAAAAACCTGTATTGAAATCTAAAAGGCATGTTAGGTTTAATAGAAGGAATAAAAAGAATTGAAAGGGATATATAAAAAATTAAGAATTTGGAGTACTAAACAATATGATATTAATTTGATGAGACCTTAAAGTAGTAGAAATCAAGATTAGAGAAACCATAAATTTATGAATGAATTTAATGAGAATATTTTCAAGCTTTCAAGCTCCTTTTAAGACTGAATCAATTTTTGTTTACTATAAAATATAATTTAAAATACATGTATTTATTAACCAACATAATTTTCACTTGCATTTGAAGTCGACAATTAAAACCATTCTACCATATATTTATCATAATTTAAGTTTTCACTCCAATCTATAAGGTTTTATACTTCTTTATCAAACTCATTCTAAGAATATAAAACATTATACATCATCCATTTTTAAATATTATTTAGTTTAAGTAAAAAAATCTTATTATTATTAAACTTGTTTTAATTATTGAGTTCCCTCTTTTTATTTTTAAATACTCTAAGCCCATTTCAATTTATTGAGTCTAGTCTTCTTATTGACTTTTTCCTCTCTTTTATCTTTTTTATGATGATAATATCTAATTTTGTTGGATGTGTATAATTCAACAAAATCTGCTTTGATCATTAATTTGTTGGAGATCTATGGTTATTAAAATATAATTTAACTGGTCTCCATCCATTGTTATCCAATCTTAGATACCATCCTTGATTATCATATTTTTATTAATTTTTCTTATATTCTCAATATGCAACTTTTTCATGAGGAACAGGATTTCTTTGAATAGATGAATAATCTCTAGGTGCAAATGAATTTAAATCTACAATTCCTCCATGAGTATATATTTTATAATAAATAATAGGAGGAAATTGCTAGAATAGTCATAAAATTATTTACTTCTCCACCAAGTCGAAATCTGATGTGTGATTTACATGCAGCATCAAGTAATTAGGCTTCATTTGGGTTAATAGCTTTTAAAAATCTTGCAGGGTTTCCTCTTATGTTAATGAATATTCAGAAATTGCACTTAAATAAAATGATATCTTTGTAATATTGGAATATTTTTCTATTGGTAAATGACCTCCAAGATCTATTATAAAATAAGGGAGTTCTACTTCTATATTTTTCTAGCATTTTAATCTTCCATTATAATTAATTCTTATTTAAAATATTTAACATTCCGTTAATGTCTACAAAAATCACTATCTATGGTATCATTAATCATGAAGACTCTGATCTTTTCGAAAGTGCAGGATCATTGACATTGAGAACACCTAGGAATGTGCCTAATTTTAATGAAACAACTTAATTATCAATTCCAGGTTACGTCAAATAGATTTGTGCAGGTCAATCTCATATATTAGCCTTAACTTAAGATGGAAATGTATTTAGTTATGGATCAAATTAATTTGGTTAAAGAGGCTCAACAGGACCAGGATTTCAATTAGTAATGAAGAATGTTCTTTAGATTGCAGTAGGTTTATATCATTCTGCTGCAGCTACAAGAGATAATAAAATATACGTTTGGGGTCGAGGTTCAGAGGGTTAATTAGGATTTGGAGACACAGAAAACGTTGAAAAACCAACAGAACTCAATATCTAAGGATAAGAAGTTTGTTGCGGTAGTTTTCACACTCTTGTAAGAAATGGAGAGACATGTTATGTGATGGGAGAAAATTAGAATGGATAATTAGGAGTTTTAGGATAGCATACAAGCCCTGTGAAATTGAATATACCTGTTGAATAAATGGCTGCAGGTTTGGATCATTCCTTATTTTTATATAAAGGACAAGTAAATAAGTTTCAATATTTAGGTTTTTGTTACAGGAAATAATTTATTTGGATAATGTGGAGTATCTGAATAAGTAGTTAGAGAACCTATTAAATTATAATTAAATTTTGAAGTACAATAGGTGATAGCATCTATGGGAACATTTAGTTGTGTAATAAGCAAATAAGGAAAGGTTTATTTTTGGGGAACTGGAAGTTGGGGTTATGCTAGAAAGTGCACTCCATTAGAAGAATTATGTAAATTAGATGATGAATAAAGAGTATCATAAGTAATTTCAGGTGAAAACTTTGCTATGTTGAAATGTTTAGATGGATGGTATGTTTTTGGAATGAATAAAATGCCTGAAAATTATTCATAATAATAAACACATAGGATTTAATTAAGTAAAGTCAATTTAGTTGATGGCTTAATATGTGCAGGTCTTAATATTGTTTTTGTCTATTCCCATAATCAAGAAGTTTAAAAACCAATTTAATAAATGCCTGTTGATTAAGGATCTTATGTATCATAATCATCAGAATAAGAATATAAATAGAGGCCAAGTTATAGATAAACTAATGAATTAAGATAATCCTATCAATTAACATAAACTGCTACTTATTAAACTTCAAGTGCTTTGAAGACTTCATAAATTCCACCTTCAGCTTTAAGATAATCTCAATAAGTTACAAATATTTCATAGTTTTGTAATTAAAATAGTTCGACATCATAATATTATAATGAGTATTAATCAAATAAAATTGATACAAAATAAGGAAAGGATTACAAACTTAGTGATTTACTTTATAGATCTGATCATAAGTAAGATATTCGATAAGAGCTTAAATTAGATCTTGGATAATCAGAAAATAAAGTCAGAACAGAATCCAGAACACCTGATAATAGGAATGATCAAAAATAAATTGATAAAAAATCTGATAATAAATTAGCATATAAAGAAGATGAATTAAAAATAGAATTAAAATAAGAGTTACTTAAATTAGAAAAAAGATAAGAGTAATTTAAATAAGAAATTATTAATTAATAATAATAATTAGATAGAAAAAATGAAAATTTAAAAGAAATTACTTTTGGTTTTAAATCTGAAGTTAAACCTTTATAAGAAAGAAATATAACATAATAATCCTAAAAATGTTATGATTGTTTACATTATGTTCAAAAAAATGATTATTTTTAGAAACATATTAAATTTTAAGAAGAGGAAATAACTAATCTCAAAAAGGAATTAGAAATATTAAAAAATTAAATTAAATAAAAAGATAATTATGTTAATGAGTTAGAAAATAGAATATTAAAATATTAAGAAACTACTTTTAAATAAGTTAACTTACAATAATAATTATAACAACATTCTATTTATAAACCAACTATGGAGGTTAGATTAAAAAGTGAAGAAAAATAGCCTGTTACAAGAGAAGAGGCATAAATAAATTACTAAAAAATAATCGATTATTCACCTAAAATTTATAGATAACCAATAATTGATTAATCACCAAAGGAAAGAAGTTTTAATACAAGTATCATTGATAAAATATAAACATATTAATAATCTGCAAAAGCAACAAGGCCAGTTCACTAAAATCTCATGAATAGATATTCAGCTCATGAAGTTTAACCTTAATAGATCTACCAACCTAATACATATGTGATTCCACAATATTTTAAGGCCAGAAATTGAGAATTATTTTATTATTATATACTTTAGTAAAATTTTATAATTTATTATTTTCATAATTTGTATATTTAGAATTTTATTATTTATTAAATATTATTAATGTATAATATTTTATTTATCTTAGTATTGATTCTATCTTTTTTATTTAAGATATATCATTTATATCAAAATTTAAATATTTTTTAATGTAAATATATAAATATTGGAACAATGATGGCTTTTTACTTTAATAATATTTATCTCATAATTCGTAAGAGTTTAATAGACAATTAAATTTTAAATAAATCATTATCATAAATTAAATATAATCATTAATTAAGCAAAGAAAATGAAAAGTAAGTGAGGTTATTTTTTTATTTAATTTTAATTTATGTATTACAACCATAATGCCATAATAAAAATTTCGTTATAATTAAGGTTGTAGCTTTTAAAGGATCTTAAAAATTCAACTTTTTATCTAAATGTAACAAATTTTATTAAAGATGAGATATATTTGAAAATTTTTCCGAATTATTAAAAAAAAATAAAGGTTTTGTAAAGTAAACTCTTATCTAAGGTATAATTTATTTAGTTAATTATATCAAAGTAAAATGTATAGATTCAATATTATCTTCATTAATTTTAGATGATATTTTTATAAATCCCTCATTTTTCTCTCTAAATTAAAGCAATGAAATCAATATTAATAATACTGAGTTTAAATCTATAAGTAAGTTTTCTATTTTTAATTTGTTAATAATAGTCAATTGATTCCCAAAAACAGATTTTAATAATGATATTACTCTATCTTTAGTGAATTTTTTTTAATGATTTTGATTTAAGATATCAGGATTTTATAAAATATTAAGAGATACAAAGTAATTCATACATTATAATTAAGCAAATCTATCATCTTTTTCTTTAAAGTAAATGGTTAAACAATGTTGAGCCAAAGAGGTAATAAGTCTATTTTTTAAATTCAATTCTAATTTCTCATGATTTTAAGAATAATTATTTAAACATTCAGTAGCCATTATAACCATTTATTGTTCGTCAGTCCAATAATTTACAATTTAAACTTTAAATTAATTTCCTAATAAATTAGATTGACATATAAGTGAATTAACTAATTTATCTTAAGAACCCCTTTTTCTCAATTCAAATGCAGAACCTGTTGATGAATTACTTTACAACATCATTCTAATATGCTTTTCAAGTGTACACTTGTTTTCTTTGTTAGTAAGCTTAGATCCTCTAGAAAAGGTAAGCTTAATGAATTATGTTTAAAAATTTACATTTCTTAGAACTGTTCTTAAATCATTGTCATTATTAACTTATAAAATTTCTTTGGTAATATTGTTCATCTAATGTATTCTTAATTAATCCTATTGTTTATCTAATTTGATGACTAAAATAGATTATTCTAAGACTGTGTCAATTATCTAAAAATTGTTATTAATTTACTGCAAACCATTTTTTTCTTTCTCTATTATGGAGAAATTATTGCCTTTTATTATTCTCTATACTGTATTTGATCGCAATCATTCCTACAATAATAGAGATAAAACTTAATAATAGACTAACATAAATATAAGAGTAATTATAAGCCCATAAAATATATGCTAGCAATAATCCTATAACTATTAGAGCTTAAGACCATAATAAATAGCCTTAAATAAAAATGGCTATTATAGAATGACAAAAATACCCATGTGAAAATAGCAAGCACAAAATCCATAATACCAATCATAATTTGAATTATAGGAATTATTTGGATTGTTTTCTTTAAAAATATAGTCAACACTTTGAATCAAAGCCATAATTATTTATAGAAAAGGCAAAATTATGTTAATTACACTTGGGTATTTATCTATTAAAAACTTTGAGAAAATAATAAAGATAACAATAAAACAACAACTAAGCAATATGGCTATAAAATAAGGCTAACTTCTAAAGTAATATATGGAATAAAATATCATGTATAACTATTATTTTCAATATGAAAATTACGCAAGCTTGTAAAGAAAATGCTGTATACTCTTTTTTCACAACTGGTATTTGACTTTCTCTGTATTCTAATTCTAAATTTGCGGATTAAAAAGTTAAAGAGTATTTATTAAACATTTATTTATTTACTATCTCCAATAATTGAAATTATAAATATAGGCTTTTAAATTCACAAATAAGAAAGAGTATAGTTTGAATTTGAGAATAGTATATAATAATTCAACTTAAAATTAATCATGAAAAATACTTACTTAAAACCAAATATATTCTAGTTGATCCATTAATATATATTTAAACATTTATTAAGTATAAACTTTAAATAGATTAAGAATTATTTGAATTAATTATAAATATTAGTATTTAAATATGTAATAGCAATCCTCATTTAATAACACATGCATCAAAAATTTGATATCCAATAATTGCAATTGTCAAATACATGAATGCATTAAATAAATCATTAATTTAAAGTCATAGTAATTCAATAATCTAAATAAATTACTTAACCTATTTGCATCACCATACAAAATTTGTGATTAGCATCATTATCCCTTTGAATTTTTTTCAGAAGAAGAAAATGATATGAAATGCAAATTTTGTCTAGACAGAAACAGCAAACTTTAATTAATTTAGAATATGACCAATTAAGAAACTTAAATAGATCTAAATCAAGGATTAATTGACTTTCCAAATTCATCAGATTATATAGAAAACAGTTTTAAAAAATTATGGAATCAAAAATCAGAAGAATTGTAAAAAGATTTAGAAAATACAACAGAAATAGAGAAAAAGTGGATGGAAAGAAAGAAAATAAAAGAAACAATTGAATTTCTTAAAATGACATATCCAAAAGAGGTTCATAATGAATTTCATGATGCTATGACAAAAATAAATTAAATTGATTAAGTTGGAAGTAATTTTTCTAACTATGATGTATTGAAATATAGAGATTTATTATTATATAAATGAATTCAATTAAAATTTTTGCTTTTATAAATCATATTTCGAGAATTTTCAATCATATGATAAATGAAAACTATTATATCTTTAATCATTTATTACTGTTTTTACAATAAATTACATTATTTATTAATTATAGAATAACAGTCATAGAACTATCATAATTATTGCAAAAATACCTATTGAATATTGTTAAAGATAACAAAATTCTTCAAGAATTACATTGTGGAGAACTGAAGTTTAGAATTTTAGTAATTAAATTTCTACATCATTTAGAGATTTATTCTTAGAAACAGCAGGAGTTTATGGAAGCTGAATAAACTTTTAAGTAGAATAAATAAAAGACATTTATGAAAATGGAAAATAAAAGTGCAAGTACTAGCGATGATGCTATAGTTAAATTGCTTTGAGGGAATATATATAGTCTGAATATTCTAATTTATTTTTTGAATTTTGGGCATTTCTAAAAATTGATTGCAAATAATAAACCAAATATATTATTTAAATCATTATGTTTCGAATAAAATATGAAACAGAAAAGGAAATTTTAAGGATACAAGAAGAAAATGAAGCTAATTTAATTTAAGAAAACAATTAAAGTTAAAAAAAATGTGGTCAGAAATCACTTATAGTCATGCTATTTAAAAATTGAATGATCTGAATAGACACATGGAAATAGACCTTTAAGAATGATTTATACATAACTGATTAATTAAACAGAAAAATGAGATTAAGGATGAATAAGCGTTTGTTATAAAAAAAAAAAATCAAAGATAAGATATTGTTGGTTTAAAGAAAAACAGCTGAAAGAATAATGAGAGCAACAGAAAGAAAGATTCGACTTGAATATGATTCATTTGTGATAAAGAGAACATAAGGTTTATAAATAAAAAAGAATAAAACTTAAAATTTTTGAAGAATTAGAAAAATTATTAAAAGATAAGAATGAATATATAGTTGAAAAGGAAGCCAAAATTAATTAATTATTTTAAAAATTTGAAGAATAAGAGAAGAAATTTGCAAGTTTGTTAAAATAGATTGATAATTATAAAGTTACTCAACAATTAGAAGTATGTATTACTATAGTATCAAAATATGGAAAGAAATCGGATATTGAAATATAGGTTTCAATGCTGGATCCAAGAGTTGAATTATTTGAATTTAAACTATCAGAAATGATATAGTAAAAAGATGAAATAAAAGAAGAATTAAAATTATTACATAAAAGCTTTGGAAGATAAGATTAAAAGTTTAAATTGACCAAAATAAAAATAAGAAGTTTTATTATTATTAATCTAAATTGATTTATCAACTGATAATAAAATAATATCACTTAATACTCTATTATAATATATAAATGATAATTGAACTGAAGATATTTCAAGATGAATTATCATTTATTGTATCATATTTTGAGGTCCAAATTAAAATTAAATTGTGAATCTCCATTCGAGAAACTTGATCAATTATTTGGAGATGAAGATGAAAGTTATGAATAGTAATCAATTACTAAAAAAAAGAAGTATAAATAAAAAGAAAAGAATAAGTCATATAAAAAACCATTTAATGCCTAGATACAAGAATCAGAAACAGACGATGAAAAAATCGAAAGCTTAAATTGTAAAATCTTCAGATTAATAATAAAGAGAATAAATTGAGTAAAAATTGTTTTTTCTGTCTTTGGTTGTGAACCACAAAATGATGAATAGTTCGATTTAGAAGTTCTTAGAAATTATTTAGGATCATTTGAAAGAAGAATCAATCAAAAAAGTATTTACTCAATTTGCTTAAAAAGAGAAAAATCAATGAAAAGATAACATTTTTTTGGTTATTTCATTTTATTGTAGTAAGAGTGTTCAAACCATCTTTTATTTTGATTTCAAAAAGTTTATGAAAATTTATGAGAGTAATAATTCCTAAGTATATTTTAGGTACATAAAAGATGTGGTGATGAATGCAACTATCAAATCCAAATCCAATCCTAACTCAAAACCTTTGATTGTGTAAGAAGAAAAATCTTAAATTTTTCCAAATAAAGTTTATCTCCATTTGAATAATTACCTAAACTTAAATGAATATTAATAAAAAATAATTTTAATATAAATATACTTATATCTATGGGAAGAAAAAATAGAGACTTATCTTATTTGAAACCTTTTTGTTTTTACTGTGATAAAACATTTAAAAATGAAGTGTACTTGCATTAGCATTAAAAAGCCAAGCATTTTACATGCTAGAGATGCTTCAAGAAGTTTTCCTCTTGTGATTCATTAAAAAATCATGTAGAATCAGCTCATCATGAAGTTTTGACTAAGTTTAAAAGGATTATACTTATTTTAGAATACCCAATGCCACTGGTGATAGAAGTGATATTAAAAATAAAATTTTTGGGATGTAAGGAGTACCAAGAGTAGAAATTGAAAAGAGAATAAGAAAAGGAGCAGAAGAATATTGGACCAAAATATTAAGTGCTCAATATTAACTAAGAAGAAAAGAAAATAAATAAAGAATGAAATAAAATAGGGAAATAAGTAAAAAAGAAAATTAACAAGATGTTAAAATAGATGTAAGATTTATATTATATTATTAGAATGAAAAAGAAGAAATTGAATAACATGAATACAATCCAGAAGCAAAACCTATTAGTTTTGATCTTGATTATGAGTAATTGCAAAAACAATGATGTATTATATACCTCATCCAGCAATAATATACTCAATATATAAAGTTAAATATTTTAAGCAGTAATATTAAAAATCAATCTAAAATTAGTTAAAGTTTTCTAAGAGTTTTCTCATTTTCTTTTTTATTTTAATAAACTCTCTCTAAATCTGGAATTAGATCCTTTATTAATTCTTTATTTGTTTATTTTAATAATGCTAAAAGACATAGGGTTTGTTATTCATATTAAAAGTTTTCTAAAAGTATCTTTAAATTATGAATGATTTCAAATTCTTTTATTATGTCCATGAATTGTGAGCTCTAGCATTTAAATAGCATTGCATAATGCAAAAGTATGATTTATTTTTGATGCATTTAGGAATTCTGAATAATTATGATTTAATGGATTATATCTTTATTTTAAAGAATAGTTTCTACATAATATTAAGCATAATAATAAAGTATTCTTAAGGTGTATTTCTATCTACATGATATTTATAAATATTTTGCACAAAACTAAATAAATTGACTCTTATGTAGAATCTATACAAATTTTACATAGTCATTAATAAGATAATACATTATTTTTAATATGATATTATCAATACCTTTATTCAAATTATTGCAACATAATTCCATTAATTCATTTTAGATGAATGTAACTTTTGTCAAAGCATAGAATCCATGAAAACATTCCTATTAAATTTTAAGTACATCAGGGTATTTCTTTTAGTACATCCAAAAGATATTAAAAAGTTTTTCTCTTTCAATTATATTACTTTCCTCACCTTGAGAATCACTCTTAAATTTGGCTAACACACTTAAAAACCATAACCTAAGAGATAGATCTTCTAGATTCTTGTATCTATGAACTTCATCAATCATGTATTCAATAATCTTCAATTCTAAAACTTCTTCTTAAACCGATTTTTCACTGCATAAATTACCCAATCCAATAATTGCATTTGTTTTTTCTTTCGATTACAATAATTCATAAAAAAACTAAATTCCTCCAATTTAAATCAAATCTAATGTTTGTTCTTTTGATCCTGCAGTTGCATCTGTAAGTCGATTGATTGATTCCTAATCATTATTATTTATTAAGTCAAGCATCATTTCTTTTGATAATTAAGGTATTCTTTTTTCTTTAAATATTTTTTCTATTTCATTTCGTCTTATTTTTAATGAAAAACATTCTCTTTTTTAGTGCAGCAAACTATTCATTTGGTTAAATTTTAATTAAAATTAACTAAATAAAAGTAACACTCAATTTATGTCTAAAAGTGGTAATTATTAAATTAAAACATTAATGTTAATTATATATATAAATTTATCATCATTTTTTTCTATTTTTTTCCTCCCCACAATATTTTTTTAGATAGATTCATTAGAACCTTTTAAATATTTAATATAATATATTTTGTAGAATTCAATTTTATAATTTATAATATGGTTTAGTTATTTTTGCTTCAAAAATATTAAAATATTGAAATCTTTATTGAACTTCTCATAATTCAATAGTTTTCTAATTTTTGTTCATATAATTAATTTTAGATTTGAGTATTCTAATTTAATTGTTTAATATAAGACTGAAAATTAAGAAACTTTATCTTTCTGTCTAAGGATGAATTCTAGTAAAAGAAACCTTTAATTATTTCTTTAAAGTCAAGTGAAATAATTAGTTAAAGTATGATAAATTTATTCAATACATATATTTACCTTTAAAAAAATTTTGATTCATACTTTCTATTGGAGTTGAGATCCTATCCAATACAAGATATGAAGAGATGAAGAGATGAGAATTATTTTTATATGTATTAATATAATGAGTCTATTCAAAAAACTTCAAACTCATAAATTATTTTTTATTTTTCACATAAATTTGAATTTTAAACTAAATAAATAAGTTCAAATGTCAAGAAAAATCATTTGCTCTTTATTCAAACCAAAAGAGGAGCAACAAAATGAAATCATAATATCTTTACATTTTCAACTTTTATTTAATCGAAAGAACACTTTTTTCTTAGCCCAAGGTTACATACACGATTGATTCTAAGAATTAAAGTAAAAATCAAACCAAATCATTATTACATGAGAAGATTTTATTTTCTCTAGATCACCTTAAGATTTTCCTCTTCTATCCTAAATTATATTCAAAAATTTGAGGCTGGGATGAAAAATACAATGTAAAACTGAGGATATATTAGCCTCCAAAACATATTTTGACTCTCATCGTCTATTGATTTTGAAATCCTATCTCAAATTTATGGATTAAATAAAAGTAATTCATGCCCTTGTTCAAAGTTCCTGAGTTTTAAGAATAGCTTCTCTTCTTGCTATATTACTTCCCTTAAATCTCTCTAATATTGTTAAAAAGCAAACTATGACAAGCTCAATGATACTCTTAATATTTTTCTAATTACTCCATCATAGATTTAATTCCCTTCTTTTATATTTTGAGACTCTTTTAATGTTTCAATAGATAAATAATTATGAGATCCATCAATTATCCTCTTTTCTTGCTCCTGTCAGTTTTTTTATAAATGGTAATCAATGAGCCAACAAAAAACAACAATTTTGATTTATTATATTCTCTAAGCTTTTAGATAAGAAAAAATAAAGACACAAAATAAAATTGAATTTTGGTAACCAATTAATCACAAAATTCAACAAATTAATACTTTTTGATAATTAATATGGTAAAACATAAAATTTTTATTTTAAAATTAAATATTTTATGCAACCAGGTGATATATTTCGGTGAGATAAAATCAATCTCCCGCAGTCCAGGTTCCCATTGGGATGGGGAAAACCTAATTTTCCTTTTTCTCTCCTTTTCTGACTTAGTGACTTCAATGAAGGATTTATCCCAGAAGGATAGGTAATTGGTTGAGTAGGAAATTGGATGTAAAGGTTTTTAGTTCTTGTTCCTTAATATCTCATATAGATCTTGCTAACTTGACATTCAAAGTCCTGTGTGGCTGTATAAAATCTACTGGGTCACTGCCCGAGGGCTTTAAATGATTTGGAGAGATTTTTTTGACCCCCATAAATATAAAATATGTAATAATCAGTCAAGATAAAAATAATTATGAATTTTCTAGCATCTTTTAGAACTACCTAAAAAAAAAACAAAAGATAAAAAATTTTTATGAGAGGCTTCGTACTTATGTTTCAAGCACTTTATATCAAGTTGTTATCCAGGAAGTTCCTTCCTCACACTTTTATGATTCCAAACTCCATTTGACTTTGATTTTATCGCCATAATTATTTTTTAATGTTTATTTGAAAATTAAAAAATTGAAATTAAAAATATACAAAGATTAAAATTATTAAATTATTTCTTCTTCTCCTCATAATACCCTCCAAATTCGAGAGCTGAGCTCTTCATTGTGCTTTTCCTCTTGAAAGTCCTAAGCCTTTTCAGAGAGCAAGGCTTCATAAGTTTGTCAAAAGATCCTTAATTCTTTATAAAGGTACAAACTTTTTGGCCCCAATCCATTTCTCATAATATATTAATGAATAATTTGCTCCCTTCATCAATTAAATGTTATTAAAAAGATTTTTCTTTAATATAATTCAATGCGAAGCACTAAGAATTAATCAAGGAGAATTGATCAAAAATTTAAAAATAGCTTAAAATTAATAAAACTATTTCTAAAAATTCTATGAATCTAATTAATTATATAACAAAACATCAGTCTATGTAAACATCAAATAAAAATATAGATAGGATGCTTCCTTTAGGCTATCCATTTTAGAAAGTCACTTTTTTTCATTAAATTCTTTAGCTTTGTTTGAAATTAAAACCTCTAAAAACTAGTATTTTTAATCATCAAGAATTTTTTCCTCTTTCATTTATACTAATATAACAATTTTTCTGTTAATTTTGTTGCGTTTGATTGAATATATTTAAAANTAACCAATTAATCACAAAATTCAACAAATTAATACTTTTTGATAATTAATATGGTAAAACATAAAATTTTTATTTTAAAATTAAATATTTTATGCAACCAGGTGATATATTTCGGTGAGATAAAATCAATCTCCCGCAGTCCAGGTTCCCATTGGGATGGGGAAAACCTAATTTTCCTTTTTCTCTCCTTTTCTGACTTAGTGACTTCAATGAAGGATTTATCCCAGAAGGATAGGTAATTGGTTGAGTAGGAAATTGGATGTAAAGGTTTTTAGTTCTTGTTCCTTAATATCTCATATAGATCTTGCTAACTTGACATTCAAAGTCCTGTGTGGCTGTATAAAATCTACTGGGTCACTGCCCGAGGGCTTTAAATGATTTGGAGAGATTTTTTTGACCCCCATAAATATAAAATATGTAATAATCAGTCAAGATAAAAATAATTATGAATTTTCTAGCATCTTTTAGAACTACCTAAAAAAAAAACAAAAGATAAAAAATTTTTATGAGAGGCTTCGTACTTATGTTTCAAGCACTTTATATCAAGTTGTTATCCAGGAAGTTCCTTCCTCACACTTTTATGATTCCAAACTCCATTTGACTTTGATTTTATCGCCATAATTATTTTTTAATGTTTATTTGAAAATTAAAAAATTGAAATTAAAAATATACAAAGATTAAAATTATTAAATTATTTCTTCTTCTCCTCATAATACCCTCCAAATTCGAGAGCTGAGCTCTTCATTGTGCTTTTCCTCTTGAAAGTCCTAAGCCTTTTCAGAGAGCAAGGCTTCATAAGTTTGTCAAAAGATCCTTAATTCTTTATAAAGGTACAAACTTTTTGGCCCCAATCCATTTCTCATAATATATTAATGAATAATTTGCTCCCTTCATCAATTAAATGTTATTAAAAAGATTTTTCTTTAATATAATTCAATGCGAAGCACTAAGAATTAATCAAGGAGAATTGATCAAAAATTTAAAAATAGCTTAAAATTAATAAAACTATTTCTAAAAATTCTATGAATCTAATTAATTATATAACAAAACATCAGTCTATGTAAACATCAAATAAAAATATAGATAGGATGCTTCCTTTAGGCTATCCATTTTAGAAAGTCACTTTTTTTCATTAAATTCTTTAGCTTTGTTTGAAATTAAAACCTCTAAAAACTAGTATTTTTAATCATCAAGAATTTTTTCCTCTTTCATTTATACTAATATAACAATTTTTCTGTTAATTTTGTTGCGTTTGATTGAATATATTTAAAAGGTCCAGTTGAACAACTTTAACAGCTATAGTAAATTTCTTCATTACTTTATTTGTGTTATTAAAATTATAGGTAAAATTTATTATTGTTATAACCATTACTATTACTATTTTTCTTTTATTGTGTTAATTATTAAATTCTAGATTCCATTTATTACATTAAACCAAATATTTTTATAACAACAAAAAATTTGATTTTAAGGTAAAGGTTCTCCATTTATTGAAAATATTATCTATCCCTTTGGTTTAACATGGATATATATTGATGCTTATTTTGATTATGAAGTATTTTATAGTAATATTGTTTACAATATATAGATTATTTTTTGTTATTTTAATTGTAGACAATATAAATTGTAAAATTATGATTTTGATTAAATATTTCTCAGTTTTCTCTGAGATTTTGAGGAATTTTCCAGCGGTGACAAGAGTACTCGCCCCTATCATGAGAGGAGCCTGATAGGATAAACTTCTCGTATTTATGAGTCATATACGATATCAAGTTTTTATACTCCCTTTGACTGCCAATATTTAATAGGTGCTGTTTGTTTTTACTTCGATTTTTGGGGGGCTTTCCTACTATTTTTCCCCTGCATTGTTTTCTTTCTAAAATGTTCTTATTCCAACTTTTTCTATTGACTCTAAGCAGAACTTAAACTTGTCAAGGGACCATGTAATGAGATTTATCTTATTCAGATATCGTTTCATTCCTAGTAGCATTTCCTTGATTCTAGAACCTACAAGCCTACTGGAAGACATTTGGCCCACGAAACTCAAAAAGGTCTTCTAAAATTTCCTGGAAGATTTGGAATAGGCTACCAAATTAGACTGTCTACGAATTCTCTGGATACTTATGTAGGAAATCAGCTTGAACGCTAAATTGTTGGGTATTCATTTCTGACCACAATAATTAAAATAATAATATCATATTATAATAATTATGTTTTTTTTTTATCATTATTGATTTAAAATGAGTTAAAACGAAAACAAAATGAAGAAAATGTTACTTATGGGTTAACATAAAGTTGGCAAATCTTCAATGCATTCAATTATTTTTGCAAATACCCCTCCAAATTAAGTTATGTAGGTTGGATTGACTGTAGATGTAAATCAAAATTCATTTAAATTTATGGGAAATATTAATATAAATTTATGGGATTGTGGTGGATAAGTAATAATATTTAGTTTATTTTGAGGACAAACTATTATAGGAGTATTTCACTACATAGAAATCTAAAATATTTTCTGATGTTGAAGTTTTGATTTACATGTTTGATGTTGATAAAGAAGGAGATCTATTCATTAAGGAATTGAATGATTTTAAAACTAAAGTAACAAGTTTATCAGAATGTTCTCCTGGAGCTATTGTATTTGTTTTGATTCACAAATTTGATAAAATAAAAGAATCAGAAAGAAAAATTGTATTTGAAGTATGATCACATTTTATATTCTTAGCGAAAATACAAAGAGATTATCAAAAGAGCAAATGGCTTAAATATCGAAATTAAAGATGTGTTTCCAACTTCTATTTGGGATGAAACTCTATATAAGGCTTGGTCTTAGATTGTTCAAAAATTTATACCTGATATAAATGTTATAAAGGAGAGTTTGAAAGCCTTTTGCCAAACTTGTAGTTGTGAGGAAGTTGTGTTATTTGAAAAATCAACTTTCTTGATTATTGATTTTTAGGAAACAACTGAGAAAAAAGGTTTTAATCAGATTTTATATATAGATATCTATAAATATGAGAGATTATCTAATATAATAAAGCAATTTAAGTTGACTTGTATGAAAACATAAGCAAATATATAAGCAATAACAGTAAAATCAGAGAAGTTTACTGTGTATATTGATGAATTTACAGAAAATACATTTATAATGTTGGCTTATACTGATCCATCAATTTATCCAGCTGCTATTTCACACAATGTTCATCATGTATACATTTAAATTTATTAAAAGGCTTAAAAATTATTTGAAAGTATTCAAGGGTCTGATACAGATAAATTGAAATATTTAATTTAAAGATAATCATGAAATTTTATTATTAACCATCTGAGTTAAAGAATAATAAAATATACCATTATCAGCAATTGAGATTTTATTGTAAAGTTAGATTAAGGTTCTAATTCTTTCATTTAAGCTTATCTTTTTCATTTTTTTTTAAATTGAGTGATTTATAATGAACTGTTGATATGAGATTATCATTTTTTCTTCATTTATAGATTAATTGTTTTTTATTCTATTTTCTTTTCTTATTCAATGGATCATCTAAACTTGTCTTCCTTACTAATCTTCTTTTTTTAACCTATATATTCTATTTGGGTTTCATTATGTATTAAAATATTTACATATATGTGTTAAACAACATCAGGTTAGTTTAATAACTGAGCTACATATGTTATTTAATCTCTCAATCAGAGCTTTTATTTTTTTTTCTTATCATACTCACTTGAATTTAATGGTTAATCTGAAAAGTCGTGCCTTTTAAAATAACAATAAAGCAATATATTGTTCAATTTTATTTTAAATATAATTATTAAAAATCCAATTTTGATGATAACTCTTGGAAACAAATAAAACTTCAATTAAATTTTTTAATTTTCTTAGTTTAATTACTAAATCACAGAGAGTTCAATCAAAATTATTAATAATTGAACTTCCGTTTTAAATTATTTTTTTGAATGTAATCTTATGGCTGCTAAGAAGGATATAGCAGCCTTAAGGTTTGCGAATTCAGAAAGTAGAAGTTTTAATTAGAATATATGATTGAATAATTGCAAATCTTTATTCTGATTAAAGTTTAACAATTGAAATGATAATATATATATATATGATAAAAGTTTAAGCTTGATTAATTAATAATTACATAAAATTTTTTCTGCTATTTAAAGAAAACTTATAATAATATGTAAAGAAATATCATTCAAAGTTCAAGAACTTAGGAAGTACTTTCTTATAATTTTCTTAAATAGTGACAGATTTTTACTTCCTTACCTACTCTTATCTGTGTTTAAATTAATCTTATCATTGATTTAATCTCCATCCTTTACCTTCATGAAATAATCCTATAAAAAACAATTTGAATTATTATTCCTTGTGTAAATTTTACAGCAAATCATTATATGTATTATCATTTTCATAATATGGGTAAAAATAAGAGGAAGTTTATTTTTTTTGTAACTTTTCATATTATTCTTGTAATCATTTAGAATAGAAAATGAATTTTGCAGATGTTAGTTTGCCTCTACTTGTATATTCAATTACTGATAAAAAATTATTATTGAATTTTAATAAGAGTTTTTTGATGAAGATTATTGTATGTGATGATATTTTTATTATAATATTCTACTATAGATTATATTATTTTTGGATACAATTATTCATTATTTAAAATATAATGCAAAAATTGTCATTATTCTTTTTTGTTTCAAGTTTTATGACGAAAATATAATTCTCTAATTCAAAAATTCTAATTAAATTAAATTTGTGATGATTCTTAAATTCAATCCAATACAAGCTATGAAAACAATAGCTGAATTGAATGCCCAGGCTGAATGTTTTTCTGACTTCACTACATAAACCATAGTTATTAATTTAATTCATCATTGCACCTATTTGTTCAATTTATTAATAATAATTTAGCTGATTTCCCGCTAACTTTAAATAATTTAATATTGATAATACTGAAGAAAGTTAATTTAACTCAGATTAGACAAAAGCAAGAAAGTCAATCTTATTAATTAATAAATTGCTGATTAATCTATTTAAAGAAATATTCATGATCAGAAATTTTAAACAACCTATTTTAAGTTCTATAAAATCTCTTTGGTTTAATAAATTGTTAATAATTATTGCTAGATAAATTTTAATAAACAAAAGATGACCTATGTTTAAAATATTTAAACAAATAAACTTTGCCCCAGAATATTCAAGTTAATAGAGTAACACTTAAAAAAAAAATAATTGTATATTCTGCCAAAAAAAGAAGTTTTTCAACTTTGGAGAGTTTCTTTGAAGAATTAATTTTTTTATAACAAAAAATCCTTTAATATTCAATTTAATGGAAAAGAAATCAAAATAATGGCAAAGACATTAGCAAAAGTAATAATAACAATAATAAACAATATTCAACACTAGATCTAAACCTATCCTTGGAGAAAAACTTAATTTAAATTCATAGTACAAAGAAAGTTCTATAGAAAATAAACAATATCTTAAATGAAAAATATATAAAAACAAATTGAAGAATCTATCAAGAAATAACTAGATTTATCTCTAAATATACTATTAGACTAAATTACTTACTTAAATAAACCCTTAAACTAGTGATCTAAACACAAGGTTTAATTAAAAACACCAAAGAGTTACAATTTGTTAATAACAGAAATCTTAATAACAATTTAATTCCTTGTAGGAAGAAAATGGCTATGATAATGTCGAATGATTATTCATTACTGCAGGAAAAGTCAAGCTTGTAAGAATGTTTTCGCTTACTTAGAAGATTAATAGAAAAATATGAAAAAATATCACAAAGGTAAAATTCCATATGATAGCTCTCATAATTTGAAGAAGTAAATGTAATGAATGTAGCCTTAATATGTCTTTAATAAGCCTAGGAGTTAGAAACTCTCCAAAGAGCCTATTAATGTTAAAAATCAGTGTATCAATATTAACACAGGATTTTCAATAAAAATGGTGTCTTGAAATATTTCATTGATGAATAAGGAAACTTTAAGTTTAGTTAAATAATATGGAACTTATTTCTTCTAATTTCAATATTAAAGAAAAACCTTTCGAAATCTTGATTTGAATTTTACCCAACTACCTTACTGAACAATTTTTCTGACCACTTTTTAATTTGAACTAATAATTAATTTTTATTAATTGAGCTAGGCTAATTGTCTTAGTTTAAACCACCAGACTTTATTACAATTCTCTGACCTATTACTTAAGCCCTTTATTTAAGTTAGAGGAATCAAGATTTCTCCCTATGATTAAAGTATCTAATCGAAAATATTATCTAAAGAATAGGCATTAATTATTGCTAATTTATTAAATTTAGTTAATAATTACAAGAAATAAAGTAAATTAATTGAATCTTTTTAGATTTTAGTAATGCATATAATACCTTAAACAGAAATATACTAGATAAAATGTTTAAGTAAATTAACACTTAATTCAAAAGATTTCAAATTCTTAAATAATTTACAATCTAACTTGTACTCCAGATGTCCGTTAACTCATAAAAATATTTGTTTGGCAATGTTGTTCCCTAAGCATTTCCACTTTTTCCTGCTCTATTTGCCTTATAACTTCTTGAGGGAATTAAAAGCATCTTTTAATTTGATTATCATAGCTTTCAATTTGCTGATGACATAGTCATACTAAGTAAAACATAAAATTTTCCTAAGATATAATTTGTAGGTTAATCAATTTAAAAGTAGAGTATTTTATCTGCATACTCATTCTAAAGTTAATGGAAAATTCCTCCTCGACTTTCCTATTATTATATCTTAATAAATTGGTAAAAGAAATTATAACTTTGGCAAATTTTAATTCTAACACATTAATTTTACTACTGTGCTGTGGTTTAAATATAGATTAATAAATATAGCTTTAAAATTATTTGTAGCTTCCAAAAATTATTGCCTAATAAAATATTAAATGTTCTAATTCCTCCTTTAGAACCATTAATCTAAAAAACTGTCCATTGATATAAGATTAAAATACATTAGTTTATAAAAACTAGTTACTTATATATGTTGAATTTGATATTTCTAATTTTTTTATCAAATTTTTCTTCTAATGCTGATCGCTTTTGTTGAAATTAATTCATATTTCCAACAAAGAATTTTATCATTTTAGCTATCCAAAGTATCAAATTTCATAAGTGACTTTTCAAATATGTTTCTTGGGTGTTTTTTGTTTATTAATGAATAAGGGTAAGAAGAGATTACAGTGGAGAAAATTATTCCTTTATAACAAATTATATATAATATCTTAAAAATTTGAGAACATTATGAAAATAATTATATGGAAATAATCAAATTAAAAAATGAGAAATATTGAAGGTACAATAATAAATTTTCATGGAACTTTATGGTGCGCTGGGGAATCCATATCATTGTTATTTGATTTATCTAATAAATTTAATAATTTAGTTCTTTTTTCTAAATCTATGAAAAATTTTACTGAAATACTAAATTATATCGAAGTATTGTTTAAACTTCTCTATGTTATTGTAGTTAGATTAAAAAATAGAGATGAGGATTAAAACTTTTATCGCTCTATTTTTTTTAGATATTAAATTTAGCAAATCAATAATAGACTTTAATATATACTAGGATTATTACATAAACATAATTTAATCTAAATATTTAATTTTACTTTCGATTTTCTTGAAAAGGTTCGGTAAATTATTTAATAACCAGAAAAGATAATAAATTTGTTACTCTAATCATAAAACTGATCAATTTTTTTAATAAAAAAAGAGATTAATCATTTGATTTTATAGTTAATAGTTTGAATCATTAATGCAAGCAATCTTTGCAGGTAGATGCATAATAAATAATTAATTAAATGAAAATAATTTAGATATTGAATTTGTTGACTTATGCTTTATGTGCAACCTTCTCAAGTACAAGTCTAAGTGATACTTTGCATGAAAATGGATCAATCTATGGATGGAGAGAAGATGAATAAAAACTATTCAAAAATTGGGTGTAAGAATATCAAAAAACATATAACAATGAATTCGAAATGATTTATAGAATGGAAGTCTTTGTGCAGAACTATAGATTAATGAAGGTATTTAACAGGTTAATTCTAATTTTAGCATCATAATGAATAATTACCAAAAGATGTATGGGGATTAAATATCTTCGCAGATGAAACATCTGAAGAGTTGATGGATAAGCTCTTTATGAAGAAAGATTTCGATGAGCATTATGAGACATTTAATGAAGATGATATCAATGCAATTAAAATTGATGCTTTATCTCATAATTCTTTTTTATAAGCTGATAAAACGGTGAAGGTTATTAAAAAAGTAGTGAAAAAATCATCTAAAACTTCTAAAGCACAGAAAGCAACACCAAAGAATCCTCCTAGCTTAGACTGGTTAAAAAAAGTAATTTTCTTTTATTAATTCTTAGGTTACAGAAGTTTAATAATAAGGAAGATGCGGTAGTTGTTGGGCATTCGCAGTTTAAGATGTTGTAATAAGTAGATTGGCAATTAATAATAAAAACAAACTTGATTAATTATCAAAGACACATTTAATTGATTGTGCTGATGGAAATACAGCAGGATGTGATGGAGGTTCAGTCAGTGATGCATTTGATTTTATCAACAAATATGGAACTGTTTATGAAAAAGACTATAGAGAATATGATCAGAAAGAAGGTGAATGTTCAAAACCAAAAGGATCAATTGNGTTAGATTAAAAAATAGAGATGAGGATTAAAACTTTTATCGCTCTATTTTTTTTAGATATTAAATTTAGCAAATCAATAATAGACTTTAATATATACTAGGATTATTACATAAACATAATTTAATCTAAATATTTAATTTTACTTTCGATTTTCTTGAAAAGGTTCGGTAAATTATTTAATAACCAGAAAAGATAATAAATTTGTTACTCTAATCATAAAACTGATCAATTTTTTTAATAAAAAAAGAGATTAATCATTTGATTTTATAGTTAATAGTTTGAATCATTAATGCAAGCAATCTTTGCAGGTAGATGCATAATAAATAATTAATTAAATGAAAATAATTTAGATATTGAATTTGTTGACTTATGCTTTATGTGCAACCTTCTCAAGTACAAGTCTAAGTGATACTTTGCATGAAAATGGATCAATCTATGGATGGAGAGAAGATGAATAAAAACTATTCAAAAATTGGGTGTAAGAATATCAAAAAACATATAACAATGAATTCGAAATGATTTATAGAATGGAAGTCTTTGTGCAGAACTATAGATTAATGAAGGTATTTAACAGGTTAATTCTAATTTTAGCATCATAATGAATAATTACCAAAAGATGTATGGGGATTAAATATCTTCGCAGATGAAACATCTGAAGAGTTGATGGATAAGCTCTTTATGAAGAAAGATTTCGATGAGCATTATGAGACATTTAATGAAGATGATATCAATGCAATTAAAATTGATGCTTTATCTCATAATTCTTTTTTATAAGCTGATAAAACGGTGAAGGTTATTAAAAAAGTAGTGAAAAAATCATCTAAAACTTCTAAAGCACAGAAAGCAACACCAAAGAATCCTCCTAGCTTAGACTGGTTAAAAAAAGTAATTTTCTTTTATTAATTCTTAGGTTACAGAAGTTTAATAATAAGGAAGATGCGGTAGTTGTTGGGCATTCGCAGTTTAAGATGTTGTAATAAGTAGATTGGCAATTAATAATAAAAACAAACTTGATTAATTATCAAAGACACATTTAATTGATTGTGCTGATGGAAATACAGCAGGATGTGATGGAGGTTCAGTCAGTGATGCATTTGATTTTATCAACAAATATGGAACTGTTTATGAAAAAGACTATAGAGAATATGATCAGAAAGAAGGTGAATGTTCAAAACCAAAAGGATCAATTGGATATAAACAATTTAAATCTGTGGTAGGGTTAAGCAAATTCACTAATAATGAAATTGAAACTGCAATGTAAACAGGTCCAGTTACAGCTCTTATGTATGCAGATGAATCCTGGCTAAGATATACATCTGGAATTATTAATACTTGTGGATATCCAAAAGTTTCTAATTACTAACATGTTGTTTCATTTATTGCATATGATACTTAAACATGGTTTGCAAAAAATTCATGGGGACAAAAATGGGGAATGAGTGGTTACTTTTAAGTGTAAAAAAATGGGGATGCTAATTGCCTAGATAAAATAAAAAAAATTACATATCCGATTATTTGAATTATTATGAAATATGATTCTAAATATCAAATGTAAATTAAGAATTTTAAATAATTATAATAAATAAATTTATTTTTATGACTTCTACTAATTGAATAATTCATGGTTTTCTTTAAATTAAATATTTCAATTTATCTGTATCAGACCCTTGAATACTTTCAAATAATTTTTAAGCCTTTTAATAAATTTAAATGTATACATGATGAACATTGTGTGAAATAGCAGCTGGATAAATTGATGGATCAGTATAAGCCAACATTATAAATGTATTTTCTGTAAATTCATCAATATACACAGTAAACTTCTCTGATTTTACTGTTATTGCTTATATATTTGCTTATGTTTTCATACAAGTCAACTTAAATTGCTTTATTATATTAGATAATCTCTCATATTTTTAGATATCTATATATAAAATCTGATTAAAACCTTTTTTCTCAGTTGTTTCCTAAAAATCAATAATCAAGAAAGTTGATTTTTCAAATAACACAACTTCCTCACAACTACAAGTTTGGCAAAAGGCTTTCAAACTCTCCTTTATAACATTTATATTAGGTATCAAATTCTGAACAATCTAAGACCAAGCCTTATATAGAGTTTCATCCCAAATAGAGGTTGAAAACACATCTTTAATTTCGATATTTAAGCCATCTGCTCTTTGAATAATCTCTTTGTATTTTCGCTAAGAATATAAAATGTGATAATACTTCAAATACAATTTTTCTTTCTGATTCTTTTATTTTATCAAATTTGTGAATCAAAACAAATACAATAGCTCCAGGAGAACATTCTGATAAACTTGTTACTGTAGTTTTAAAATCATTCAATTCCTTAATGAATAGATCTCCTTCTTTATCAACATCAAACACATATATCAAAACTTCAACATTAGAAAATATTGTAGATTTCTATGTAGTGAAATACTCTTATAATAGTTTGTCCTCAAAATAAACTAAATATTATTACTTATCCACCACAATCCCATAAATTTATCTTAAGATTTCCCATAAATTTAAATGAATTTTGATTTACATCTACAGTCAATCCAATCTACATAACTTAATTTGGAGGGGTATTTGCAAAAATAATTGAATGCATTGAAGTTTTACCCACTTTATGTTAACCCATAAGTAACATTTTCTTCATTTTGTTTTCGTTTTAACTCATTTTAAATCAATAATGATAAAAAAAATAATATACATTAGAACAATATAAAAATATAAATATATAAATAAGTCATATCTTCTCTAAAAGAGAAATATTAGATAATTACGGCAACGATACTGTAAGTTTTAATAATTACATAATACATTATAAGCGTAACCCCTTAGTAAAAAATGAAGAAAATCATATAAATATTAGACATTAATTAGTTTAAAAGATTAGATAATATGAGGTAAGGTAAAATTATAAATTTAAATAATTTAATGACAAGAAAATATATCTCTAAGAAATTTTCATTTAAATAATAAATAACTAAATCTTTAAATTACATTATTTTTAATTGATTGATAAAGAGATATAAGTTGATTAAACTTTTTATCTAATTAATAGAGTTTTCAAATAAATATTATAAATTGAGAAGCAAATAATTAATGAGATTCAGGAAAAATAAATATTATAAGACAACATTTAGTTTATGAAGGTTTGAAATTTTATACTAAATGTAATTAAATAGAAATAATAATCAGAAATATTATATAAATATTAATCAATCATACTTATTTTAAATGTTTATGTATATAAATAGGATAATGTAAGTATAAATTTATCTGAAATATACTTAGATGAGTTAAACGAATTCCTCAGATGGTTTATTTATTCTCTACATAAATTCAGAAATGTTTATATTTTATGAATTAATTATATTAATAAATAAATGTCACAAGCTTCTTTTACTGGTTTTATTTCAATAGAAGACATAAAAAAACCAAAATATGATATCAATCATCTGTTAGATTCTAATTATGATTCATATGTTAGAGATATATTGCCTATTAAAATTTAAAACTTTGAAATTAAGAGACTTGAATGGGATGACTTTACAGGTGAACCAAATAAAGATTCACCTTGGATTGCTCATAGTTATTGGAATATTCATTATGAATTACCTAAGAAAGAAATAAGTAGAGCTTTTTCAAATTAGAAATAATCACCAACAGTTACTAATTAGAAAAATAGTAATGCAAATTTAAATCAATAACCTTAAAAATTTTAATTGTCACCTAAAAATTAAACTTAAATCACTAAATAATCTTCTGACAGAGTTAATGTCAAATAATAATCGCCAAAGCTACCTCCAAAAAGACCACTATAACAAGATAATAATTAAAATAGAACTAATAGTAGACTATAGAACTAAATACCAGCTCCATCCCTTAGAATAGCAAGTCTTTAAGGAGTCAAAAGATAATCATAATAGAAAAACTAAACACCTAAATAAAAATCTTCTAGAAGTAATTCTAATAGTGCTCTTATGAAACAATAATCTCCAAGATAATCATTAAATATCTTAGTTTATTGTAAACTTATGGAGAAATCATGGACTAAATCAAATTAGTATGATGATTTATTAGAACATGAAACTGGGCATTATTTAATTGGATGTTTATGTGCTCTAGAATTTAAAAGAAAAGCAGAATAGATGGAATTAGGAAATACAGAAATTAAATAATTATTCCAAACGAATTTTAGAACATTCCTTAAAATAGAAAAGGATTATGATGAAGAAACAAGCCATTATTGTAATTGGAGAATGTAAATGAAATGGAATAGAAAAATTAAAGAACAACTTTTGTTGTATGAAATGTATTTTAATAATTGATGTATATAAAGTCTTTATTACTTTATTTATAAACACTAATGTAGAATATAAGCAATTAAATTGTAATTGTATTCCTTTTTTTCAATTAATTTTATTTAATTATTTTATTTAAAATTTAAAATCATTCTTTAATTTTTATTTAATAAACAAAAATATAAATAAAAATTAAGCAGTTGAATTGCTTATAGATTTTATTATAAAATATCATATAATTTTTGAATTTCAGTACATAATTATTCATTTATTCTAATTTGTTTTATTGTATAATATCTCATCATAATAAAAAAATTAATTTGATTAATCTTGATTTTTATTTTGAAGAATTAAAAATATAAATTTTTTATTAACAGAAAATTTGAAAACTCTACCATAATATTTTACATTATATCCCTTATTATCTTCGATAATCTATTTTTTTAATATAATTAACAATCAGTTCAATTATTAAAAACTACAAATCTAAATTTAATTGTGAGTCTTAGAAATTAAAAAATTGAATTAAACATTAATTATCATTTTTTATATACAGAATTATTTGAATTTTTTTGAATGTAAAATTTAATTAAGTGATCCATTCTTTTTATTTGATAGTGTGGCAAACGGTTGTAATAATATTTTATTAATATATTATAATAAATATTAATATTTAATAAATTAATGTATAAAGGCTACCCGACAGAAGTTAAAAGCAGCGCAGGGTAGAGGATAACAAGACCATATAGTTAATAAAAGTATCTTTTAAATTAACTTAGGGAGTATATAGATATGAAGTCTTCCCTTAAATAGTAATCGCAATCTTGTGAAAAATCCAACTAATCTACAATACTAAAAGGCAAAGTGTCTAACAAATAATAGGTTAAGAACAAAATGAAACCAACATAAACGCGATTTTAATTTTAATAACCCTAGAGTTTATAAA